AAAAACAAGGTGGCACCGGTCAAGCTGGTGACACTACCGCGCCTCGAACTCACCGCCGCCGCCTTGCTCACTTCTCTCGCGTGTCACACTCGATCAACGTTACGTTTGTTCGCAGCACCCATTTTTCTCTGGTCAGATTCGAAGGTGACACTGCACTGGATCCGGGGGCACGCCTCCCGCTGGAAGACTTACGTGGCGAACCGCGTGGCCCACATCCAGCAGAAGCTGCCGGATGCTCAATGGCAACATGTCCCCGGGCGGGACAACCCTGCGGACTGCGCCTCCAGAGGGATCGCTCCAGGCGAACTGCTGGACCACCCCCTGTGGTGGACCGGACCCGCCTGGCTTCGCGAGGACCGATCTCTGTGGCCGAGCGAGGACCCTGCGATGCCCGACGCCGATCTGCCCGAACAGAGAATCGCGGCACACGTCGCCACCGAGAAAATCGAGGAGGAACCCGAGATGCTTCTCAGATTTTCCTCGCTGCACCGGCTTCTACGGGTCACAGCTTGGTGCTCCCGCTGGCGACGCACTGCTTCCCGCACCACCACACTCACGTTGCGATCGGACGAGATCGACGACGCACTGATTCTCTGGCTCCGTGTGGTGCAAGCACTGCACTTCGCCTCCGAGATCACGGCACTTTCTGCAAACAGCACTGTGTCACACCGAAGTTCATTGGCGAGCCTGAGTCCATTCTTGGATGACCACGGAGTTCTGAGAGTCGGAGGCCGCCTCAAGCATGCCATGCTTTCCACCGACGAGCGACACCCGATGATCGCACCTCCTTCTTCGTGGCTCACTCGGTTGATCATAGAGTCGTGCCACCGCCGGACGCTGCACGGAGGAGTGCAGCTCACCCTCGGCCTACTTCGCCTCCGCTTCTGGATCCCTCGAGGCCGCTCCGTCGTCAAGCAGCGGCTGCATCGCTGTGTAACATGCACCCGCTGGCGAGCCACGGCACCTCAGCCTCCGATGGGCAATCTTCCGAAGGGACGAGTCACTCCGGCACGCCCATTCCTCCGGACCGGCCTGGACTACGCCGGCCCAATCTCCATCCGCACGACCAAAGGCCGCGGACACCGAGCGCACAAGGCCTTTATCGCTGTATTCGTGTGCCTATGCACCAAGGCGGTGCATCTGGACGTCGTGTCGGATTACACGACGGACGCCTTTCTCGCCGCTTTCCGTCGCTTCATCTCCCGTCGAGGCCTCTGCGAGGAGCTATACTCGGATTGCGGCACCAATTTCGTGGGAGCCGACCGAGTCCTAAGAGAGCTCTTCCGAGCTTCGTCCGCCGACGGCCGTCGCCTTGCTCACGCCGCCGCCGCAGAGGGTGTCAAATGGCACTTTAACCCGCCAGCTGCACCGCACTTCGGAGGACTGTGGGAGGCCGCCGTGAAGTCGACCAAGTTCCATCTCCGTCGGGTCATTGGGGAGACCACGCTCACCTTTGAGGAAATGAGCACCCTCCTCGCTCAGGTCGAAGCCTGCCTGAATTCCAGGCCGCTGCAGGC